CGCACAAGCCAAGTTGGAGCATGAACAACGTGCTGCCGCTTGATTAATTGTTGGACTACGTGGCACCACCTGGAAAGGTCGTCCACAAACCACTGGTCTATTCTCAGTTGCCTAACGGCGCAATTGCAATTGCAAAAACGTCCCAAGCCGAGGCTTTTGGAGACCATCTGTAGTGAAAGTAGTAGTAGTAGTAATACGCACGGAATTCGGAACACCAACCATGCAATATGAATCACAGGACCCGAATCGATAATCAGCTATCACGGGCGGGATCGCAGAAGCAATGTCCCACGAGAACGAGACGCGAGGAAAAGGCCACAGGACAGGCAGTAAGTACTTCATTTATTGGAAGAAATGAAGGTGATTAAATAATATGTACAACGGGAGAGTATTGGCTATCTGGGCTTCCACCAATTGGATTGAAGCACTGCTTGCATAATCTTGCTTCTGTCTGCACTGTCTTAGATTGGCTGGCACCATCCGCCAATGACGTGTATCCAGAAGCCATGCACGTGTCATTGACGTCAGCATTCAAACTTGATTGATCGCCAATGTCCTGAAACTGTAACGCGCCGCTCCAGGGCAGGCGTCATCCTGTAGGCCTGGATCATCACAGTACTCCGATCCTCTGAACCCTCTATCGTACGCCAGATTTTAATATCAACCACATACATGATTGACGGACTGCGGAGTTGACCGCAAAAGTCACTGACATAATTCACGAACATGAAAGGACCAAGAACAGAGCCTTGAGGGGCCCCACTGGAGGTCGGATACCACGTAGATGGCGACCTGAAAACACGGAAGCAGAATATTCTGTCGGTAAGATAGTCTTAGAGCCATTTTAGCATGGTCTCACTGACACCAAGGCTGTACAGCTTTCACGGGAGACGGTTGCACCTTGTCAAAAGCCTGGCTGAAGTTCACGAAGATAATATCCGTCTTCGTGTCCTTTGGACTCGTCTTAAGTCGATGAGCAGGTTTGAGGGGCATGAGTGACCCGGACGAAGACCGTGTTGTTGGTGGCACAGGTGACCATAGCACACCAAATGCGGCCGAAGACATGCAGCCACCAGTCGCTCCAGTACTATACCCAATATACCAGTAAGGTTGACTGGTCGGTAGTTTCCTGAGGCACTCTTATCTCCACCTTTGGCTGGTTGCAAAATGCCAGCACCCTTCCACTACCTTGGTAAACGACCTGATGTGAAAGACACATTGAACAGACTGCGCCATTGTACAGCAATTTCCGCTACCAGCTTCCTCGAGATAAACAGACGCACACCATCAGACCCAGGTGACTGCTGAACTCTCAGTCGACGCAGCTGGCTAAATTCTACGATGGTAAATGGAGTCCAATTAGGACCAGTGTGCGCGCCCAGAAGATATGGCGACTGGTTGGAGTTTGGGCAAAATACCGATTCTTCATAATACGATGCTAAAATCGCGGCATTGTCCCAATCGTTTTCAGCAACCAATCCGTCTTTGATGAAAGTCAGGAGGTTTGGAGTAGTTTTATTCGGCGCCTGAAGTAAGCACATAGCCGCATGGATACTCGTGCTGAATCCGCTGCAAGGCAGTATAAGTGTTGTCGGTGATGAGCTTGCTTCGACACTAATTTCTGACGGTTCGATCAACATGCTGCCCCGGTGTCGATGAAGGCACTAGTTGGTGTATCTCATAGGTAACAACAAGAAAGAAGAGCAAGAATAGATAATAGTAGGGATGCGCGAATAGAAAAAATTGGAATCGCGATGCTGAAACTGGGGAATGTGCTTGTCGTAGAGGGTGTTGGTTATTAACGCGAGCAATCGGTGGAGATCCGGGAGCTGATTCACTGACCTTTTTAGCCATTCGAGCAGGCTGCAGCGCTCACCGAATGCTGGATGGTGAACTTGGAGGAAAATAGCGTCAAATGGATGAGTTTTGTGTGCCCAAAACGATGTACAGTGCGATTGTTCCATCATTCCACACTGTCTCTCCCTCTCACTCATGACCTTAAACAAGTAAATTCCCTCTGACTCTTTCTGATATCTGATTGGATCATATTCCGCGATTGGCAACACTTGTGATCCCCCACTTCAATACGAGACTGTCCGATTACTGGCTTGTATCCTTTATAAAGCTTATGTTGTCACGTGCAGTCCATCCATGTGGTGATGGCACTCCTGTTGTACTGTCGAGGCAAGCACCAGGTCCCTTGTTGCGACCAGTTGCGCTATCTGACCGATCGATAAACGAACCCAATCAGTCGTGATTTTCTGGCCATTATAGGACGAGAACAAGTTCTGAATCCGATGCTGTTTAAGTATTGGTAGAGAATCACCATAGGAGAATCAGTTGTGGAACGATGCGCCGTGTGGGAACTTCGGAATGGAAAATGTTCAAGCAATGATGACATTTGGTCAACGCTTGACTTGTCCAAGAGACACGCACTGTTTTTCGAAGCGGGTTCGATAAACGGGTAATCACAATAAAACTTTGAACTCATCTTAAGTACGGACTACAATATCCACGAATATATACCCAGGTAAAACTCTTCTTGGTATATTCCCGACTGGCTGTTTTCGCGTTGAACGATCTCGCTAGCTACGCCGGAGATAGAATTTGGGTGGAGAGAACAAATATGATGGAAAAATACATATTTGTTTTATGAAACTTGTTCAATATGTTCTCCCTTTGCTGCTTGCATAGCAAAATGCGTCGAAGATAGTTTTCTTCCACCTTCAGAATGGTAGCAATTGGAATACTTGCGCACTACTCGACAATAAACTGTTTTAACTCCTTGATCATTCTCGGTTTTCGGGAATAAACGGTTCGCTTTAGATATCCCCAAAGAAAGGAATCCAAACGAGACAGATCCTGTGATCTTGGAACCAAACTGGGGTACCAACTTCAGTTTCTATACGCCAGATGGCAGGTAGCACATTATCATATAACACTTGCAGATATGAAGGGCCTTAAACAATTAAACAAGCGAAACTGTTCTTACCTATGGCGTTTTCGGTGAAAAGTACGGCCCGACAATCTTGCCATGCATGCATGATACCTGACCACATTAATACCTTGGGGCAATTAAACGATTTTGATCGCAGAAAGTATCTTGGGTTTTCGATGGCCCAAAGAATAGAGTTTGTTATAGTTCCGTTCACATGAAAAATGGCTTCATGTGTGAAAACCGTTTGCCACACATTCAGGAGTTCCAGATACCCAGGGCAAAATTCTAATCGGCGCTCAGGATCATTGACACCGGTGTTCCTGTAGCTGAGTCCCCTCCAGTTTGTATATAAACCAAACAGATCTACATTGGACACCGTATCCAATTTACTGCACTTTATCGCCTTAGTCTATCCGTTGTGTTTTTCTTGACTAATCATCTGGGTTTGATTCTGTTTCCCGACCATCCCTACTTTTCAAACTAGACTCTTTCGCCACTCCGAAACAACTGCTCGTATGGCTTGCCTGCTGTTTCACAGAGAGGACCCAGTGCATCAAATTAGGAAGGAGGATCTATTGTTAATAACTCTGGTGTTCTTCAAAGTGCTGTTCTCAACAGTTTTTTTCTGCCTTTATTAGTTATCTTTCAGTCCAACCCCCTGCGCACATCCAAAAGTAAGCTGATGACGTTGTTTTGTGTAAGACAGTTTCATCTCCTTCGGAATTTCACTTTTACTGAAAATCTATCCCACATCCAACAATTTTCTGACTAATCTGATCTCAGTATTAACATATTTAAATGCATAGAGTGTATTTTCACTCTTTCCCGTTCCTCATTTCCAACGGACCCTGCTACCTTAAATTTAAACCTGTATCTGGAATGACCTAAGGAAAGTATCTGGGTGTCACTATCGACAGCAATCTTCATTGGTCTACACATATTTACAATTGTATGGAAAACTGAGACGCCCAACTTTTCAATTACGCAAACTCAGGTAATTCCAAACCCCACAGTCAGTCTTGTCCTCTTTCGTTCATCAATACGTTTTACCCATTCTACTTCATTGCTCCCATGTAGTGTTTCCCGGTCTTTTAAAACAAGACTTCAAAAAAATTCGCCGTGGTTTGATGATCATCAGTCGTGCATCATTAATTCCGATCGATTCATTAATCACAGAACTCATTGATAGTCACATCAACTCTTGTTTTAAACTTGCTCATAAGATTCTAGATGACCGTCTTCATCCACTACACCCTGATCTATCGTCTTGTTGTTCCCATCCGTCCACACGCTCCTCATTTCGACATCCACCCTCTCGCATTAAAATTTATAAAAATTTCCTTGTAACCTACCTGACCCGACTCATTACCAAAATGGAACAGGTTGCAAATGAACTACGACAAAAGATTTATACAGGAAATAAATATCACCGACTTTTTTGTGTTGTATTTCATTATTATTATTATTATTATTATTATTATTTCATTCCGCGTGACGAACAGTGTACATTTTCAACTGAAATTTAAGCATAAATGCCTACACAAGTTATAAAATATAAAATTTTCTTTTAATATCTTGAGCACGGAATACATGCCATGTTCCATTCCTGGGCAATTCGCCTTGTGGGCATCTGAGGATTCCGATGTACACAATGCAACACGTTGAATATACCACATTCATCCGTCTTTGTTCGTGGATGTCCCTTAGGTTTCCGATCGCGTACTACTCCGGTAGATTTGAATTTTCTCAATAGCGCTTTGGAACCGTTTCTAATGGCCCTCGTTGCACAAGTGTTGTTGAATTCCTTCACCATCAATGAAGGATTTTCCTATAGTACATCGCAACCAACGCCAACCGATCGTCGATCACGGACGACGAGTACGTGAGCAAACCATGATAACAACCAATGAAACTCCATCATGGCGAGGAAGAACCACATTTCAGCAGGATAATATGAATTCAGTTATTTCGGGTACTCTCAATCAGCTGCATACGTACAATGACAATCAAGGTTAAACAACAACCAAGACATGATAGGTTATGGGACAAATGAACACACCAATTGGGCCAATCTCAGGACAGGGGCAAAGGTCACACAGTCAACCACCGCGAGTGAACACATGACGATGAAAAGAAAATAATGTTTTTAAACGCTCTGTTGCTCGCCACATATTATACTGCAACTTGTGTGTGGAGCCTAGTAAGTCATTTAGGATCATAAGTAGACAACAACACCATCGTCTACTTCAGTTTGCTGAAGCCATTCGACGGCTTAAACCCAATTTGTGTAAACAATTAGACTTTGTGGCCAGTCTTGCCCTGCCCTGGTAGGACTGAACCTTAACCGTCATCTGTTTACTCGCCGTGGTGTGTGACCTGTGTGACCTTTGCCCCTGTCCTGAGATTGGCCCAATTGGTGTGTTCATTTGTCCCACAGTGAGTGTAGTATTGTGAATAGTATTCAAAATGGGTTCCGGAATGTGCGCAATACCGATCCCCGAAATAGAACAACTTCATATGGGATAGCACACGGAATTTATTCGAATCGTATACTCAATGCATTTAAAGTGTACAATTATTGCATCGATATCAGTCTCATACATCGCACTCGCCGCACCTTGAATTAACCACAGGGTTTCTGTAATCCAGTCGCGGCTTCGCACTCAATCGCTCAGAACTTCGTAGGGCTCGTTCATTCACAGAAAACACTTCCGCAGCAGTTTGTTGTTCGACATTCTGTTCATCGGTCGTGTCGATTAGGTCAGACTCTAAAGGAACGTGATTAGACTCGGAAGGTTCAACATGGAAAGGAACCAACTGACTCGAAGTGTCAAAACGAATTCACTCCACGTGTCTTCTGTGAATAGACAAATCATCCTTGTCGAGTAGTTGAAGCGTTCTCCGAACTAGACTTTAGGATAGTTCCTGAAGAGGGCCTCAGGTCATTACCACGGAAATACGCAACTTCAGAAGAATTAACACACAATAAATTGGATATCAAATTTCGATCTTTTGAAAGTTTACGGGGTGTTTCTCTAGTTGAAGAAGGAAAATAATTACGATATTTTAAAAGGAACAGATCAGCACCTATCTCAGGTTCAGAAATGTGGGTGGGTTCAAGGCAGTAATAGCACTTCCAAGCGTTCTAACAAAATTATCTGCTAGACTATTAGAGCACGGGTATCTGAGAGCGGTAAACAAATGTCAGCACCCAATGTTATGCAACCATTTCGCAGAAAAGTGACTGCCATTATCAATAACAAGCACAACTGGAATACCCTCCCGGCTGAAAATTTTACGCAACGTATGAATGGTAAAATCTGATGAGGGTGTGTAATGATAGTAGTAGTAATAGTGGTAGCAGTGTTGTGACATACTACTCTACTACGCAAATGATGCGATCAGCGGTTTCTTTCAAAGACCAAAAATGAACAAGATCTGTTGAAGCAAACTGTTGCTGGTTGGTACGGTGAACACAAGAATGTGCATCTGTTACATTACATATCCTGTGTGTTCGTGGGATTCTGCAAACTTGTTCCAAAGGAGATATTTTGTTGTATGATTGACAATTTAAAAATATCCTGACTGTGATTGGCAATAAACAAATATCTTCGACCACCACCGTCTTTTGGAATTATAACAACTGGTGCCGTCGCCAGGATCGAGATGATGGTTCCATGGCTGAAGCCTTCGAGGATGGACACGCGCGGGCGTTCCTGGTGGAGTTCGAGGACGTCGCAGAGCTGACGGGAATACGGTCGGACCGGGGTAAGTTGACGGCCCTCCGAGCGCGAGCGGTATTGGAGTTGGCGCAGAGGCCCGGAGAAGATGGAGTGATTCGCCGTAAAAGACGCCCTGATGGTGGGTTTTGACACCCCGGCCGACCGCCAGCAGGCTTTGCGGAGCTTCAGGGCGGTGAAGCTCGGAGTTGGCGTGGACCCCTTGTAGCATGCCGTGCCCCTACGTGTCCTTTTGAATCGAGCACTTCCAACGCTGGAAGATACCGCGCGTTCGGAACTACTGCTTGATCGTTTTATGGAGAGACTGCCGAAAGATTTGCGCGAGACCGTATGGATAAATAATGCCGAGAAGACTATGGATGTATTCTAATTGGCGGATGTTCTGAGGGAGCTCACTTGGAAGAAATTCACTCCTATCCAACTAACCGAAGGCTATAGACGCCCGCCTACAGGAATTACGGTAGCCCCCAACGAATTAAGACTTCAGGCGGCGGCCATCCGAACAAAATTATGAAAAGAGGGCTGTCAAGAAGGGGAAATGTGAACACAAAGAGCCACAGTGCGGGCAGAAAAATGGCTCCGCAACACAGCGCAAATGGTCCATGAGAGAACCCTTGATTTTGTTCATTTCGGTGTCGCATGAATGGTAAAATCTGATTAGGGTATGTAATGATAGTAGTAGTAGTGGTAATAATGTGCACTGAATTCGGAATACGAACCACGCAATACGGATCACGGAATGCGAATCAAGGATAAGCAAGTACTGACTGGATCACATAAGCACTAGACCGCACGCATTATCCCAAGGAACTGAGACGCGAGGTAAAGGCCTCAGCAGTAGTAGTTCATCTATTGGGAGAAATAATGGGGATTAAATAATATGCCTAAAGTAAGTTCATTGGCCATCCGGGCTTTCATCAATCGCGTTCCAGTATCCCCAGTATCGTTCTGCTTCTGTCTGGGCCCGCGGTCTCTGATTGGCTGGAACGATCCACCTGTGGCATGTAGTCAGAAGCAGTGACACGTACACGCGTTGTTGACGTCACCCGTGAAGATTGATTGTGTCGCAGTTGTTCAAAAACTGTATCGTGCCGCTTCAGGGTACGTNCAGAGTCACCATAGCATCGCAGCAACACTTCGTTTGATTGCTGCACGATACGTCTAGCCATCCGTGAATAAGGACCTTCGAATGTGGGTGAAATAGTGTCTACAGTGTCGGCATCGGCACGCACCTATCAGTGCGTTTGCTATGCCTGACGCTCGCTTTGATCACGTTCACATCGATATGGTAGGTTCATTAACACCGTCACAACGGTATACTCATTTAATCATGTGTATTGACAGGTTCACTAGATGGCCGGAGGCTAACACCATTGCTGGGTACGGAGCGCATCCGCACAACTGCTGACCATCCAGCATCTAACGGTCTAGTCGAACGTTTTCACCGTCAACTTAAGGGTGCCCTTCGGGCACACGAGAACTTTAATTGGTACGAGACGTTACCTCTTGTTCTGTTAGGCATCAGAACATGCGTAAAGGCAGATATCCAATGTACAGCTGCTGAGCTGGTTTTCGGCACTACATTACGACTTCCTGGGGAATTTTTCACGCCACGCAACATGTATTACAACGGAATACAGACCTACGTGCAACGTTTGTCTACGTCTATGCAATCCTTGTTTCGGGAAGGAACTTGAATACAGCAAAGAAAGTGTTCATCCCTACTGAACTCCTAACCTGTTCGCACGTATTCATTGGAATTGATGCGGTGCGTAAACCGTTACAACAGCCTTGCGGAGGACCTTTTCGAGTTATTTCGCATCACGAAAAGTTCCTCAAGGTTGATCGACATGGTCACGCCGATGCGATTAACATCGAACGCCCCAAGCAGCATGTGTCGACGATGGCATAGTGCACGCAAGTTCGAGACCCGATGTTATTCCTGCACGGCCGATAATTGAGGCACCTACCTCAGAGTCGAGCTCACAGATCGCAGTACCTGCTACGATTTCGAATGAGGCAACTGTCTCACGTTCAAATCAGCAGTGTACGAACACATCCGACCAGGACGAGACATCATTCTCACGTTCAGGTCGAAGGATTGTTTTGCCTGCCCGTCTGCGGGATTGAGCAAAACACGATCCGTGCATGAGCAATACCTATTACAACTTATATCACGAGATGCCTTATCTCGATATTTGTTTTGTATACCCAATGATTGTTTATGATTAATGCAGCAATTTTGAACGCTAGGATGCTGCACAGGTTTTCTCCAACAATCTTTTGCTTCCAGAGATAAGATCAAGCGAAACGCACATTGGTTGCCTCGAGGTTCAACGAGGAATTTGGCATCCTCTCGCACGACTGTGGCCCCTTTGAAATTCAAGAGTTTGTTGGAGACGATTTACATTTCTACGGTCACATACATGGACAAATTGTGGTCTACTTGGTTCATTCTTTCACGCCAACGGTCACGGAAGCTGGAAACGACGGGAGACACCTGACACCATGGTGCAACTAACGATTCGGATGATGTGAATCGTCCATGGAACGATTGAGCATACGTCACTATGTTTCTCATACTGACGTCCTACGCAACGAATTTGGTTCGTGTTTGATTGACGCAAAACAGTCCAAACATACCAACGGTTCTGTCAGTCCATGTCGTGCAGCACATCCACACTAGCTAACGATTGCCTGTCTTTCGAATTCGGTTGTGTAATGAAAGCTTTTGATTGCTTTCCAACGGGGGGGGGGCTGCTGTGGTGATGCTGATTTCACGAATAAAAGAAACAATCCACGAGGACGTTTCCCGTTCATATTTTCTTTACAATCAGCCGTGACTCTTGCTGTGATGTTTCTTTCTGTTTTACTGCTTGTGTTTTAGTCAGCACGGTTTTCCGTTCAGGCGTGTATATATGCCGGGTCCGGTTCAAACCTACGCAACACGTGTGACACGCTTACGCTTTGCTTTGTATTTGGTACTATTTAGTACCACGATACGCCAATAAACATCTACGACCATCACGAGTGTTTTTGTCTACCTCCGGTAACGAAACACTGGGAAGTGGCGCGCGTAATTCGAGATCCGTATGAAAACTAATCGACTGACCGTCAACGTCGATTAGCTTCACAGCAAATCAAAGAAGAAAAATGCCCTAAGTTGGGTAGAAGTGTTCGTATATCAAGTGAAACAACCGGGCCTCATGAGAGCAGAGAAATTGACTGCGGTCAGTTTTGGGTGATATACTCACTGGTTTATACCTAGAAATATTTTATAACACAGGTAAAATAAACGTTTGATTGGTAACTGGTCAGCCTTTGCAAAGTAGAGGCTATAATCAAATTATTTCATCGATGGCGATTGACATGACATAAACCTCAGAATCGAGATCTCAAGTGCCTTATCGCGGATGTCTGGTTTAATTAGATACATCGAGTACGAGTAATTTAAGGAACATACTGGGTTCTACTATCACAAACAATCAAATAGAGAAGGCAGACAAACTATAGAGTTTTTCATGTCATGGCATGAAGATAGCTGCAGCTATCTTCAATCTCGAAGTCGGGACAGGAATAAACTTCGAAGCCGGCCACCCCACGGTTGGATAAGCTTGGGCAAATAAAGCAACACTCTTTAGCTAAGGAGGCTATATATTTAGACCATTGGTATTACATGCAGGGTTAGGATGGTGCTTTACAATCGATTTTTCATTTTGTTGAGGTATGCCGGGGGCGGCATAACATATGTATATCTGTACATCCTAGTGAACGATAATAATGATTCATTCCCGGTTTACAGGGCTGGTCAGCGACCAAGCGCTACCATTAGCACCTGGTACCCGCATGAATCAGGGTTCGTCTTACTGTACCAAACCCTAAGAGACGTCACCATCTAGCTTCTTCTATTGGGGATGTGTTGGCGTTCATCAGTTCATATTGTGAATATGGGTCCTAAGTGCGCAGATGTCATTGGATAAATTAAAAAAAGAACTGATTTCAATAGGTTTTGGGTATATTTTAATCTGAAGTAATCATTTTGTAGAAACTCATTCTCCTCGTCGGTATCATTAAACCAGTTTACCAACAATATGGTAGCAGAGTAAACGATCTCTGGCTTACGTCATACTAATTGCAAAGTTTGCTTGCCCAAATGGTTAGTAAGTAATTTATATTTGATAAAGTAGCACGAAGATAGGGCTGTTTCAAGAATTAAATGTATGACAAAGTTAAATAGAAAAGAAGAGAGAGGGCAACCCTGTCGAACACCACTTTCCGT